CCTAGATTATTGTAAATAACAAGCCACAACCTTTAGAAAAGCATTCTCATTTGATAATCGAGCGTGGGCCCCCTACGTCTCGGCGCATGGGGGGCAATACCAGCCTCACAGCCAGCCCCGAACCGTGGGTTTCTACAGAGTAGCCTTACCTTTATGGCCTTATTTTCTCTATAACATTACTTGATTCACATCTAACAAGGCTTTATTTCTACTATTTCTGCTGGATAGGCCTCTTGAGAAGCAATCCGAGCACCATTGGAGCGCCGGCGCACTACGGCTTTACTGTCTTTCCCACCCGCTCATTCAATTAGGAGGCACCTGCTGGGTGTCGCGGTTATTTCGTTCGAGAATTCTTGCATATATTATGTAAGAAGATGGATATTTCGCTTAAAAACCCTATATTCTGATGGTCCGTGTGCCTCCTCTGGCTCTGTTGTTGCGTTTAACCCCAGTGCAGCAGCTGCATCCTCGTATACTTTTCCCTGCTGCTCATCATTTTTATACGGAGGCGATGCCTCCTGTGGGGAGCCGATCCCAGGGGAGTCTTCCAGAGTGTTTGGAGAGACCGCAGTTTGAGCGTCATTCTATAGGAGGCGCTAACTACAGACTGCTGCGTATCCCTGCTGCAGCTGCGTCTTTAAACCGAGCAGAGTGGAGTCAAGAAGCATTTGATGCGCTGATATCTGGGAGGTCCTCAGGCACTGTGGCCGCTGATGAGCATCAGCAGCAGCAGCAGCAGCAGCAGCAAAACAGGAGAGGGGCAGAGAGCGACTTGTCAGTTCATTCAACTTCTTCAGAAAGCGAAGAGAGTGAGATCCATGACAGCAGCGGCGAAGTAGATATAGAGGCGAGAGATGTTGTATCAATGAGCGAGGAGGAAATACAGCAGCAGCAAGAAGCCCTTGAAGATGAGTTTGTAGCTGCATGCGCAGCAACTCAAGAGGACGAGAGTAGATGGCGTATTGAGCTCCGCATGCCTGGGGCTTTATTTCGCCGTTTAACGCGAAAGGACCCTTCAAAGAGCCCTCTATACAATACTCTTCATGCTCTTGGTGTCTCTTATAGCCGCCCTCAGAAGGTAGCAGCAACAAGAGGGCATGAGATGCTGCTGTCCCTGTGGGGCCCCACAGAGAAGCGTGTCTGTCTAGCTAAGAAGAAAGCTGAAGAGTTAGCTGCGAAGCAGCGCAGATTCTTACCTGTTTCTCATTTTATATCGCTTCCGCTGTCTACACCAGAGGTTAAGAGTAGGTTTGAGGTGTACAGACACCTGGTGCTGGCCTCCAACTATCCAACAATTGATGAAAGTTTATTCGTCAGTAAAGACAAACTGCATATAACTCTTTTAGTGTTGCGGCTATTGAATGCAGCAGAAGTACAGGCAGCAGCACAAGTACTTAAAGCAGCAGCAGCAGATATATATGATGCTGTTGCCACCCGTACAGTGCTGCTACACGTCAAAGGCAATAACTGTTTCACCGACGACCCCTCTGATGTTTCTGTTGTCTTCGCTCCTCTTTACTCCAGGTGCGTGTACACTGTAAATAAAGTTTTAATTATAATTCAACCACTCAATTCAACTAATCTAATTCATTTATATTCATCATATACTGCTTCACTTCTTTATATAATTACTTCACTTCTTTATATAATTACTTCACTTCTTTATATAATTACTTTGCTTCTTTGTTCAATTATTTTATTTTATTTTATTCAATTGGTGTATTCAGTGAAGCTATATTATTTAGTTTTATTACTCTACCGAATTAAATTTATAAATACATATATATAATATAATACAATATAATATTATAAAGTATAATGTAAATACACGCACAGAGGCCTCTGAAGCCAACCAAACAATCATAGAAACGTCTGCTACTGCACACGCCAATCTAAGGATATCATGGGGGCCCTACGGGCCCCTATGAGGCCTTAGGGGCCCCTATGAAGCCCTAGTTGGGGCCCCTATGAAGCCCTAGTTGGGGCCCCTATGGCCTCATAGGGGCCCCCTATGCATCTTTCAGTGCATCACGGGGCCCTTTAGGGGGCCCCCTATCTAAGGACTGCAATATGAAGCCTTAGTGAAGGGCCCCTCGTCTTTGGAGGCCCCTGAAGTGATAATTTAGATGTGCAAGTTGCTGTTGCTGAATGAATATCTGGGGGCCCCTAGTGAGTGCCTTTAGGGGTTGGCTGTCAGTGCGTCTATATGCTTTTTTTTGTTTGTTTGTTTATGCATATATATGATAAATATATTTTGTTTGTTTTATTGTGTTTTAATACAGCGAAGGAGCAGAGACCCTAAGAAAGACGCAGAGCATGCTTAATAGTGTAACAGGTTTATTAGTAAGGCGGCTTGAAGCTGCTGGGCTGCTTACTCAAGAAGAGCTGCAAGAACAGCAAATACTGGGGCCCCAAGGAGAAGTAGAGCCTATCTATCACATGACGCTCTTAAAGGAGACGTACAGACAGCGCGCAGCGGCGAAACTACTACGCGAGCAGCAGCAGCAGCAGCAGCAGCAGCAGCAGCAGCAGCAGCAGCAGCAGGGGAAAAGGAAGCAACGAGCAGGGTTTGATGCAGCTCAGCTGCTGCTGGATATGCGGGGCTTCGACTTCGGTGTTGTTCGCGTCCCTGCAGTGCAGCTTAACTCTGTCTCCAGCACCACAGAAGGCACCTACACCTGCCTCGCCCAAGTAGACCTCCCCTAAGCAAGCAAGCTAGCTAGCTAGCTAGCTAGCTGGCTGTCTCTCCACTTGCTAGTTAGCTGGCTATCTCACTAGCCAGCTAGGTAGCTCGCTAGCTAGCTAAGTACCTGGCTATCTAGCTAGGTATGTGGCTAGCTAGCTAGCTATCCACATAGCTAGCTAGCCGCACGGCTCTTCCGGGAAGGAAGGGGTCGAGCTCAGCTAGCTGCTAGCTACTAGCTAGCTAGCTATATCCCAACTAGCTAGCAAAGCTAGCAACACAGCTAGCCAGCGGCGAAGCTAGCAATACAGCATAACGTTGTCCATAGAGAATGTGAGACAGTGTCAGGCTGTATCCTATCAGCAATCAGCAGCAGCAACAGCAGCAGCAACAGTAGCAGCAGCAGGCCACAGCGAAGTCGGTCGTTCGTTGCAGCTACAGGAGTATAATGAAGAGACAAATAAAAATCTTTAAAACGTCAGAACAGAGAGATGAAGCTGCAAGGCAACCCAACGATAGTGAGGGGCCCTTCAGCTTTGCGCGGCGTTGCAGCTGCAGCAGCAGCAGCTGCTGCAGCAGATAACAGCAGGAGCAGCAGATGCTGTTGCTCCTGCTGCATCTAGTTTTAGTTTGCACATCAGTGGCATAGGGGCAGCGGTAGGGCGTTGCGCTGCATGTGCAGCAGCAACTGCGGTAGAAGAGGTGCCTATACACCTCAGAGTGTCTATATGCTAAAGTGAAGACAGCAGCGGGAGGCTGAGCCCAGCTGCTTCCTCTGGGGGAATTGCTGCGAGCTCTGGATCTTCTTCGTCACACCACCTGCAGCAAACACACACAAAAGAAAGCTGCTGCTGCACCTGCTGCAGCTGCTGCTGATGCAGCTTGCCCTGCTGCTGCTGATGCAGCTGTTGCTGTTGCTGCTACGCGAGTTTCTGCTGTGTTATTCCTATTGTGGTGGTAGCTGACGCTCCTATATTTGCTGCAGCAGCAATTCTGCTTCGCTGCAGCAGCACAACTGCTTCGCTGCAGCAGCAACGCCCTCTGTATGGCTTACCAGTTTCTAGTTTCTTCTTGCTGCAGGTCCAGCAGCAAACGTTCAAGTTCTGCGTGTTGCTGCTGTTGCTGCTGCAGTTGCAGGCGTCGCTGTTTGCTGGCTGAGGCGCTTGCGCTGCGGATTGCTGCTGCTGCTGCGTCTGCTGCTGCTGCTTCTGCTGCTGCTGCTGCGGTCTTCGCTCTTGCACGAGAGCTCCTGATGCTGCAGCTGCGGCTGCTGCAGGAGACACCCACTCTGCTTCTCTTTGTTGGCGTAGCTAGGGAGGCCCCCCTGCTGCTGCTGCTTGGCTGTCTTCTCGTTTTGCATGTGCTGCTGCTGCTGCTGCTGTTGCTTTTGCTGCAGCTGGAGGCGAGGGGCCTCCCTCTCGGGGGGGCCTTGGTTTTCTGTGGGGTTGCCCCTGCAGCAGCAGCAGCAGCTGCTGCTGCAGCAACACAGCGCTTGCTCTTCTGCTGCAGTGCTGCTGATGCTGCAGCGAGGGATGTGTTGCTGCGGAGTATGAGAGAGACCTGCTCCAGTACTCGCTTCTGCCCAGCAGCAGCAGCAGCTCCTGCTGCTGTTGCTGTTGCTGCTGGAGCAGCAGCAAGGCTGGCGAGAGAGCTGCTGCTGCACACTGAAGTGGTAGAGTGCCGCCCTGTGCTGCTCGTAAACCCCCAATGCTGCTGCATACAGTCGGTCCAGCAGCTGCTGCAGCAGCGAGAAGCAGCGCAGCCGCACGCTCTGCTGTTTGAAGGGCCCCAAGGGGCCCCCTCGGGGGCCCCCCACCACTTAGGCGCTGCAGGAAGAGCATACTGCTGCTGCTGCTGCTGCTGCTGCTGAGAGGGACGGGGGGTCAAGCCAGTGTGGAGGTCCTCAAGATTTGCGATACAACTAGCAACCCCAGCGCAAGAACTGCTGCTGCTGCTGCTGCTGCTGTTGCTGCTGCTGCTGCTGTTGCTGCTGCTGTTGCTGCTGCTGTTGCTGCTGCTGCTGCTGCTGCTGTTGCTGCTGCTGCTGTTTATGCTGGTGGTGGTGGCGCTGCTGCTGGTCATTTTTGCTGCTGCTGGCATTGCTGCTGCTGCTGCGGGATGAAGATCCCTCAGCGGGTCCCCACAAGCACCGAGGAGACAGTCAGCGAGTGTCTCTTCCTCAGCAACGGGGGGCTGTGCTGCTGCTGTTGCTGCTGTTGCTGCTGCTGCTGCTGCATCTGTAGGTCTGTCTGCATCCTCACTAAGTAGCGGAGATGGAGGGGAAGACACGAGATATCCCTCGGCTGCGACATCTGCTGTTGTTGTTGCTGCTGTTGCTATTGCTGCTGCTGCTGCTGTTGCTGCTGCTGCTACGGGTAATTCTTCTGCAGCATCCACCTTCTGATCTTGCTGCTGCAGCAGCGGCTGCCGATGCTTTGCCGCCTGTGGGGCCCCCAAGTGTTGGGGGCCTCCCAAGGGGGCCCCTAGAGGGGCCCCTCTGCCGCTGCTCTTTCCTGCTGCTACATGCAGCTGACGCTGCTGCTGCTGCTGCTGCTGCTGCTTTGCCTGCTGCTGCTGCTGCAGCTGCTGTCTAGTGCTGCGAGGGGTTGTTGGGGTTAATACTCTTCTCCTTCTCTCTCCTGTCTCCTCGGGTATCACGCGGCATCTCTCAGCTGCAGCCCTGGAGCCCGTGCTCCCTGCTGCTGCTGTTGCTGTTGCCGCTGCTGCTGCTGTTGCTGCTGCTACTCTAGGGGGACGAGGCGGGATGGCTGTGCGTCGAAGGGGCCTCCGGGCAGATGCGCGGAGGGGTGTGTGCATGGCCTGCTGCTGCTGCTGCTGTTGCTGCTTCTGTAGATGCTGCTGCTGCTGTTGTTGTTGTTGCTGCTGCTGCTGCCTCAGCCTCTTTGTAGGCGACGCATTGGGGGCCCCTTGCAGCGGCATGCTGCTGCTGCTGCTGCTACTGCTGCTGCATGAAGAATCCAAAGATGCCTGAGAATCAAAGAAAAAGGGAGAAGGAAAAACAGGGATATAGCGGGTCAATGTGCTGGACGCTGCTGCTGCTGTTGCTGCTGCTGCTGCTGCGCCTGGGAGCACTGCCGACTGCTGAACTTCTTTGCTGCAGCTTAGCTGCTCTGCAGCAGCAGATGTGTAAATAATTAATTAAAAGGTTTTTAATTTAGCCAAAGAATAAACAAAAGCATAAGAAGAGAGCAAACGGGCCCAGTCAACCCCCATCGCTCCCCTGGGCTCAGTCGCGTCGGCCGTTCATTTGCTGCTGCTGCTGCTGCTGCTGCTGCTGCTTGTGTTTGTATGTGCATATGTTGTATAAATATGAAGACAGATGCTTGTCTTTCGTAACTTAAATTATTTTAACTCCAAAAGAACTTAAAAAGAGAGACAGAAAATGCAGAGAAACCCTAACAGCCGCATCAGCATCAGCAGCTAGAGCTGCAGCAGCAGCTAGAGCTGCAGCAGCAGCTAGACCCGCAGCAGCAGCTAGACCCGCAGCAACAGCTGCAGAAGCAACAGCTAGACCCGCAGCAATCGATGCGGCAGCAAATACTAGAGCTACCGAAACAACTGCATTACCTACAACTAGAGCCGCAGCAGCAACGGCTAGAGCAGCAGCAGCAACGGCTAGAGAAGCAGCAGCAACAGCTAGAGCAGCAGCTGCTTGAGCTGCTGCGTCTGTTGCTGCTGCTGCGGGATCGACATGCAGCTGCTGTAGGGACAGTTTTATAGTGTCTACGCTCGTTGCAGCAGCAGCTGCTGCGGCGGCGATTGCTGCTGCTGTTGCTTCTGTGCACTGTATGCAGTTTAGGAGTAACGACTAACTACACCCTCCTGGGCTACGAGCCTGCTGCTAGTGCTGCTGCTGCTATTACTGTTGCTGCTGCTGCTCCTTTAGCTGTTGCTGTTGCTGCAGCATGCTGCAGCAGCAGCAACAGCACCAATCGCCATAGGGCGTCCCGAGATGAGCATGCATGCGTTTGCTGCTTATCAAACCAACTCAATATGCTCTAATAGTTGCTGCTGCTGCTGTTGCTGCTGCTGCTGATAGGTATACTAGCACCAAGCAGCAGCAGCAAAACGCTGTAGGTAGTCGTGGCAGCAGCAGCAGCAGGCTTCCTGGGAGTAGAAGAGAGCAAAGCAGAGCAACGCTTCAGCACTTGCTGCTGCTGCACTTTCTGCTGATGCTGTTGCTGCTGCTGCACTTGTTTCTAGGGGCTGCTGGCTGTGTCTCTTGACACCTGCAGCAAGAGGCCCCAGCAGCAGCAGTAGCTGCTGCTGCTGCTGCTGCTCTTGTGAGGAAGCAGCGAATCCGAGACAGACTGACACCTGCTCCACTCTGGTGCTGCTGCTGCTGCTGCTGCAGCTGCAACAGCAGCTACTGTTGCAGCAGCACCTACTGCTGCTAATGCTGCAGCTCCTGCTGGAGCTACTGCTGCTAATGCTGCAGCTCCTGCTGCAGGAGCAGCTACTGCTGCTGCTGCTGCTGCAGCCGTTTCTATGGCTTTGGTATTAAACGCTTGAGGCCCATCAACCTGTACAAGCAAACAAACAGATAAAATAAATAAATAAATAAATAAATAAATAAAACAAATACACAAAAATAAAACAAAGACGACGGTGATAGACAAAAAACAAACTGCAGCAAACCCATACGCAACTCAGCAGCAGCAGCAGCACTGCTGCTGCGGTGTTGCTGCAGCTGCTGCGGTATTGCTGCAGCTGCTGCCGTTGCGGTGTTGCTGCTGCCGGCATGAGGGGGTAACCGAATATCGACGGCAACCCCACAGTAGCGAAACCCTAAACCCTAAACCCTAAACCCTCAAGCCTCAAACCCTAAGCAGAAAACCCAAAACCAAAAACCCGAAACCCGAAGACATCAACCCTAAACCCTAAACCCTAAACCCTAAACCCTAAACCCTTACCAGGGTCTGTTGGAGGCGTGCCATTCTGTTGCTGAGAGTTCTGCATGCATGCGCTGGGCCTGCACGGTGTCTCCGTTGCTGACAGCAGCACAAAACCCTAAAATCTTCTCGCAGCCTGTTGCGCTCAATTCGCCTTGTTGCAGCTGCAGCAGCACAAGCAGCAGCAGCAAGAGCAGCAGCAGCAGGAACACCCACATACCATATGCAGACGGCAAATATTATAACAAAGCCAAGACGAATCCTTTAAACCCTAAAACCTAAACCCCAAACCCTAAACCCTAAACCCTAAACCTCAAACCCTGAACCCTATACCCTAAACCCTAGGTCTTACCTTGACGAGGAGGTCGTTCACTTTGCTAGAGAGATCCTGCGCTGTGGGGCCCTGCTGCTGCTGTACCAACGAATTCAATACGTTCTGCACATAGGCCTGCAGCAGCAGCAGCAGCAGGAGCAGCAGCAAAAGCAGCAGGAGGAGCAGCAACATGCGAATCAGCAACAGAATGTACTGATACAACAGCACTGCATCGGCAGCAGCAGAAGCACTAGCAGCAGCAGCAGCAGTGGTATCAACAGCAACAGCAATAGCAGCAGCCAGCAGCTGCTGTTGCTCGCTGCTGCTAAGCAAGCACAAGCAGCAGCAGCTCAACCAACACCACAACATGCGCAAGTAGCACCATTAGCAGCAGCACAAACAAAAGCAGCAGCAGCATTACAAATAGAAGCAGCAGCAGCATTACAAACACAAGCAGCAGCAGCAAGAGCAGCAGCAGCAGCAGCAGCAAGAGCAGCAGCAGCAGCAAGAGTGTGTTACCTGCTGATCGGGGGGTAGAGTAGTGCCTTCTGGGCCCTTTTCTGAAGCCTTATTAATCCCTAAGTTTGCTGCGTAAGTACTTCGTGTGGCTCTCTGATTCTGCAGCAAACAAACAACTCTTTAACTGCTGCTGCTGCTGCAATTGCTGCTGCTGCTGCTGCTGGTGTTGCTGCTGCCCTCTCAGCGTCAAAATATATCTCTGTGTGTCTCTGTTGTTTTTTCGTCTCCTTTTATCTCTCCACTGCCCTCCTCTTCCTATTACCATCTAGGGTTTAGGGTTTAGGGTTTAGGGTTTCTCTCACCAGTTGTGCTGCTGTAGGTATAGGCCAAGGTACAGGCATTCCTCTCTTAACAGGCTGCGCTCCAACGGTTGGTGCGCTATAAGGGGGGGGACATGCGGGGCTCTCCCCAACAGAGGGGCCCCCTGGGGGCCCCCCTGAAGGGGAGGTACCCTGGGGGCCCCCCTGGGGGCCCCCTGGGGGACAGGGTACTGGGGGGCCTCCAAGGGGGCCCCCCCCAGCAGTATTAGGCATAGGGGGGGCCCCCATACTATTATTAGGAGGTGAGGGGCCCCCAAGACTGGAGAAGGTATTAGGTGGGGGGGGCCCTGATGATAGAGGCGCAGCAGAAGGGTTTGCTGCTGCTTGAAGGGATCCGTAAGGAGCAGCAGCAGGAGGAGGAGCAGCAGGAGGGGAGCCACCAGGACGCAAGATGCTGCCGCTGCTGCCCCCTGCAGCAGCAGCAGCAGCAGCAGGTGGTGGTGGTGGTGCTGAACCCCCTGGGCGCATGAAGGGTGACTGGGAGTTAAGAAGACCTGAGGGCCCCTCGGAGACAGAATTATGAGGGAAGGCGCCCCTCTGCTGCTGCTGCTGCTGTTGCTGCTGCTGCAGGTGCTGTTGCTGCTGCGGCGGCAGCGGTGGACCTGAAGCACAAGGAGGAGGCAAAAACAAAAGAAGCAAACTAAGAGATGCATGTCTCTGATAGATGAAGAGACACAGCAACAAAACAAGAAATATACAAGACCTTCTCACCATTAGAGAGGGCCCCCTGGGGGCCCCCCTTTAAACTAGAGGGGCCCCCCTGAAGGGAAGCAGCACCACTGGGGGGGAGGGGGGCTCCAGAAGCAGATAGCTGCCGAGGCGGCTGCAGCGCTCCAAACTGCTGTTGCTGTCGCTGCTGCTGCTGCAGCTGCTGCTGCTGCTGCTGGGGAGGAAACGCCGAAGGGAATCTCTGCTGCTGCTGCTGCTGCTGCTGCTGGAAGGACGGTTGCTGCTGCTGCGGCGGCGGCGGTTGCTGACCCGGCAGCATCGGCCTCATTGGCTGCCGCTGCTGCTGCTGCCGTTGCTGCTGTTGTTGCTGCTGCAGCTGCTGCTGCTGCTGCAGGGCCCCTCTTATCCTTGCACCCTTAGCAGGCATCTGAGGAGGAGTGAAGCCAGCTTGCTGCATTGCGGTGGGGTTGTTGTAGTACAGGCGCATAGCCATTTCGAAGGCAGCTGCATGCAAAGAGGCTTCCAGCTGCTGCTGCCCTCCCGCTGCTGCTGCTGCTGCTGCTGCTGCGCTGCTGCTGCTGCTGCTTCCAACACCCAAGTACAGCCGCAACACCAGCATTGCGCAAGCAGCACAAGATAGGTTGCTCGCCTCCTCAGCGTACGCACTGCAGCAGCAGCAGCAGCAAAAGAAACAAATAGTTGTAGCCACCGCAATGAGAAGTAGTAGCAGCAAAAATGCAAAGGTAAAAACAGCAGCAGCAACAGCAGCAGCAACAGCAGCAGCACTTCACCACCACATCCGCATCACTTGAAGCAACAGCAAAACCCAGCAGCAGGAGTTTCCTACAGTAGCAGCAACAACAGCAACGGCAGCAGCAGCAGCAGCAAGGGGCTTACAGTGCAACCCTTTCAAAGGCAACACAGCGCCCCTGGAAGTCTGCTGCAGCTTTAAATACGAGCATCTTCTGTAGGGTGTTGAGGAGTTGCTGACCAAAGTGGCCGTTGCTGCTGCTGCTGCTGCTGCTGCTGCTGCGCTGCGCACAGGTGCCCTGCTGCAGCTGCTGCAGCCAAATGCTGCAGGCAGAAGGAAAATCTCGCGCTGCAATGAAGCAAAAGAGGGCCCCCTTCAAGTCTCCTGCCCGGCATAGACGCTCCCCCAGCTGCCCTGCAGCAGCAACAGCAGCAGCAGCAGCAACAGCACGAGCAGCAGCAAAACCCGAGAAGCAGAGTTGAAGTATGTGCATTGCTGATGCGCGGGTGGAGGGTTTTAGGGTTTGCAAATAGGGTTTAGGGTTTGCCATTTGGGTTTAGGGTTTGCAATTAGGGTTTAGGGTTTAGGGTTTTAGGGTTTAGGGTTTAAGTACTGGTGAGGCGGTAATACGTCTCCTTGTTTGTTGCATAGCTACAGAGCAGCCGAAGACCATCTCTCCAAGCTGTAAGGGGGAGGCTCGAAACTAAGCTGTCTAGACAGTCCAGCACCGCATACCCAAACAGCTGCAGCAGCAGCAGCAGAAGCAGCAGCAGCAGCAGCAGCAGCAGACACCGGAAATGAAAGCAAGGAGGGAGGTGAAAGCAGCAGAAGCAATTCACGACGTACAAAGTTACAACAACAAAGATGTGCGATGCTTTCAAATAGCTGCTGCTGCTGCTGCTGCTCCTGCTATTGCTGCTGCTGTTGCTGCTGTTTTTGCTGCTGCTGTTGCTGCTGTATCCATACCTTAAAGAATTCATCCTTCATGTTGTGTACGTACACCTCAGCAACTGCACGCCAAATTGCTGGGCCCTGCCCTTCTGCTGCTTCTGAAAGACAGCCGCCGTTGGTGCGCTGCTGCTGCTGCTGCTGCTGCGACGCTGGTGCTGCTGCTGCTGCTGCTCCTGCCAGCAGCAGCGCGTCGCCAAGGCTGCCTACCTCCTTCAGCACCTCAACCGCCCCCTCTACACAACCGCTAAGGAGGCACTCACGAAGCAACTGGAAAGGAGCAGCAGCTGCAGCAAAAAGGAAACAGCCACACAAGCACCTTGCTGCTGTTGCTGCTGCTGCTGTGGCTGTTGTTGCTGTTGCTGCTGCTACTCCTGCTGCTGAGCAGTTCGTCACTCCTTGCAGATCATCCAGATAATATTAACAGCAGCAGCAGCAACAGACGCGGGAGCAGCAGCAACAATAGCAGCACAGCAACACCAGCAGCACCAACAGCAGCAGCAGCAGCAACAACAGCAGCGCCTCACTCCAGTCAATATCACCAAGTTGAGAGGACCCCTTCTTCTTGCTGAGGGCCTCCTTCGCTGCCTGCTCTTGCTGCTGCAGCAGCTCTTGCTGCTGCTGCTGCTGTTGTTGCTCCGCAGCCTCCGCCCAAGCCGCCTTCTCAGCCGCTTCATCCTGCTGCTCCTGCTGCTGCTGCTGCTGCTCCTTAGATGCCTCTCTTTCTTCCGCCCCTCCAAGTTGTGAGAAAAACTCTGCGCAGCGACAGCAGCAGCAGAAACAGCATTACTTATTAACAGGGCGCCTGGCGTGTTAGGGTGATGGTTAGACGCCCAGCTAGCTAGCTAGCTATCCAGCTAGCTAGCTAGCTAGCTAGCTAGACTTAAGTGTTAGTTGGGAGTGATTGCTTATTCGCACTCTCGGGGTCTACAGCAGACAAGGCGGCGCCCTGCTGCTGCTGCAGCTGCTGCTGCTGCTGCTGCGGATGCGCTGAGGTGCCGTTGGTCATTGGGTAGCCCGGATAGGCCCCCACTCCGTCCATATACCCTTGCTGCTGCCGTTGCTGCTGCTGCTGCTGCTGCACGGCGTAGTTGTACATGGCCTGCTGCTGCATCTGCTGCTGCTCCTGCTGCTGCTGCATTGCGATCTGCTGCTGCCGCTGCTGCTCCACCACCGAAGGCAGCGGGCGCCCCAGTAAGGCCTCAAGCTTCTGCTGCAGCTCTTCTCTGCTGCTGCCTCCTAGAGAGGGAGTACGCTGCAGCACACACCAGCAGCAGCAGCAGCAGACAGATGAAGCAAACAGGCTAAAGCACGAACAACACCAACAGCAGCGGCAGCAGCAGAAACAGCAGCAAGAGCAGCAGCAGCAACAGCGTACCCCGTGCAGGGCGCTAAGGAGAGCCGACCACACTTCTGCTTCCTCCTGCTGATCCTGCTGCTGCTGCTGCTGCTGTTGCTGCAGCTGGAGGTTGCAGATATCCACCCAGCGTTGCTGGCGAATGAGGCCGTCTAGCTGCTGCACCTGCGCAGCAAGTGCTGCAGCCTGCGTAGCTGCTGCTGCTGCACCTTCAGCTCCTGCCTCCTCTGCTGTCTCCTCGCTTCTTAATTGCAAAGCAGAGAGCACAACAGCAGAAGGAGAGGTAGAAGAACCAAAGGCCAAACGACCGTCCGAGCTGCAATCCATCGCTCGCGGCATCTGCAGCAGCAGCAGCAGCAGCAACAGCAGCAACAGCGACAGCAGGCAAAAGCAGGGAAAATGAGAGCTGTCCGATGCACATATAGTTCATAGCAGCAACCAACACGTTCAGCAGCAGCAGCAACAGCAACAGCAGCGGCTTCCAGCAGCAGCAACAGCAACATATGGAGCAGCAGCAGCAACACGCATTGCAACAGCAGCAACAGGTGTTTGGCGGTGCAGCAGCACCTTAAGCCAGGACGGGATACAGCTGCTGCTGCAGGGGCCCATGAGTCTGCCGTCTTCTTGTGGGTAGTACCGCTCTCCTGCTGCTGCTGCTGCTGAAGCCTCAACTAGAGGAGCAGTAAACAGAGAAGAGACAGATATCTGCATTGGTGTTGCTGCTGCATATACACCCGGAGCACTTGGAGACCACAGCACTTGCATATAAGGCTCTGCCGCCTGCTGCTGCAGGAATACTTCAATGCCGCTGCTATGCTGCTGCTGCTGCTGCTGCGCTGCAGCAGACTCCTCCGGCAACCACCAACACACAAGACGGCTGTCTCGTCCGCACGTCAACTGCAGCAGAAGCAGCAGCAACCAGCAGCAGCAACAAGTGAGAACCACCAGCAGCAGCAGCACCCGAAGGCGCAGTAGCAGCAGCAAGAACAGTAACAACAGCAACAACCACATCCGCAGCAGCAAAAGCCACGTCAGCAGCATCGGCAGCAACAGCAGCAGCAAAAGCCGCAATAACAGCAGCAAAAGCGGCGCCAGCAGCAGCAACAGCCGCACCAGCAGCAACGGCACCATCACCCGCAGCAGCAGGAGGAGCAATAGCAGCAGCAGCAGCAGCAGCAGCACCATCACCCGCAGCAGCAGCAGCAACAGCAGCAGCAGCAGCAGCAGGAACATACAACCATGCGCGAATCTGCAGGGCAGAGTGAAGCAGAGACAATGCCTCTCGTGTGGCCAAACGGAGACACCGGAGATGCCTCTTTCAAAGGGAATGCAGCATTGCGCAGATCCCATAGCTGCAGCAGCAGCAGCAGCAACAGCAACAGCAACAGCAGCAAGAACGAGAGATAGATGAACAAAGAGAAACAAATGGAGGAGACAGATAAACAAACAGCAACAGAGAAACAAAATATAAATATAAATAGACAAATAAATTTATATAAACAGAGGCAAACACAGGAGACAAACAGAGACAGAAGAGACAGCAGCAAACTCTCACCTGAGGCGCTGGCTTTCTATCATCATCATACGTCAGCAGCAACTGCGTTGGTTGCGTCGGCAGCCAAAGAACAGCACTTGGCCGCGAGTAGCGGTGCTGAGGGTCGCAGAAGCTGCAGCAGCAAACACACACATCCTATCCTGCTGCTGCTGCTGCTGTTGTTGCTGTTGCTGCTGCTGCTGTTGCTGCTGTTGCTGCAGCGGAGGCACGACTCGGGAATGGTGCTGTTGCTGGTGCTGTTGCTGGTGCTGTTGCTACTGCTGCTGGGGGGCTATGCTGCTGCTGTGGTTATTGCTGTTCCTGCTGCTGCTGCTGCTACTGCTGCTGGGGGGCTATGCTGCTGCTGTGGTTATTGCTGTTCCTGCTGCTGCTGCTGGTTTTTGTTGCTGCACTGGTGCTCTCATTTCTGCTTTTGCTGCTGCTTCTCGCAAACCGCTGGTGCAGCAGCAGCTTGGCAGCAACAGCAGCAGCACCTTCATCACCATCAGCATTATCATCATCAGCAGCAGCAGCAACAGCAGCAACAACAGCAGCACCAACAACAGCATCATCATCGGCAGCAACAGCAGCACCAACAACAGCATCATCATCAGCAACAGCATCACAAACATCATCATCATCAGCAACAGCATCACAAACACCATCATCATAAGCAACAGCAGCAGCAGCAGCCCAAACAGCAGCAGCATCAGCAGCAGCCCAAACAGCAGCAGCAGCAGCAGCCCAAACAGCAGGAGCATCATCAGCAGCAGGAGCAGCAGCAGCAGACCTGATAGCGTGCTTTCTTTGTTTGAGGTCCCAGACGACGGTTTGGCCGTTGGCTGTGCCGGTGGCGATGATGTGCGCTACAGACGGGTTCCAGCTCAGACAGCTGCACTCGCTGTCTTCTTCAGCTAACCATATCAACCAACATATCGTAAACAAATAAATAAATAAATATATAAATATACAAATAAATAAACAAATAAATAAATATATATATATATGCGTGTGTGAAGAAATAGAGACGAGTACACGTATCATATCCTACAGATATAGCTAGCTAGCAAGCTAGCTAGCTAGCTAGCTAGCTAGCTAAGTAGGTAGGTAAGTAGTTAGGCAGGTGGCTAGGTGAAGATACAGCACGATAGGTAGATAGCTAAAGACGCAGCAAGATAGGCAGGTAGGTAGGTAGCTAGCTAGCTAGCTAGAGAGCCAGCTAGTTAGCTAGATAGATACAGCCATCTAGCTAGTTAGCTAGCTAGCTAGGTAGCTAGCTAGCTAGCTAGCTAGATCGCTCTGACTCTGCTCGTTCGCTTGTCTCTGCCTTTCTCTGTCTGCTCCTCTCCTTGTTTTGCTTCGCCTCATCTCTGTCTCCATCTGCAGTTATCTATTTATGTAGCTATCAATCTCTCAACCTATCTATCTGGTTATATATCTATCTATCTAGCTAGCTAGCTAGCTAGCTATCCATCTATCCATCTAGCTACCTGCATATCTTCCTGTTTAGCTAGCTACCTAGCTAGCTACGTATATACTTCGCTATCTAGGTATCTATTTATCTATCTATCTATTTATGTAGCTAGCTAGCTAGCTAGCTAGCTAGTTAGGTAGCCAGCTAGCTAGCTAGGTAGGTGAAGCGTTTACCTGGTTTATGCGCGAGAGCTTGTGACGGCAGCTCGCAGTCTAAGATTGAAAGACCTCCTCCGCTGCAGCCAGCAGCAAGAAGAGAGGGTTTAAGAGGATTAAACTGCAGCGCTTGAACCCGCTGCCCCTTCTCTACGCTTATTGTCTGCAGCAAACTCCTGCTGCTGCTGCTGCTGCTGTTGCTGCTGCTGCTGCTGGGCGATGATGAGGATGATGAAGGTAAACAACTGGCGTCTGGAGATGCAGATAGCCGCTCCCTGTCGTTATAAACAAACAAACACACAAAGTACTCAAGAAATATATAATATATACAAAATAAATAAAATGTAATAAAGTAAACGGAGTGCTGCAGATACACCGCAGCAAATCATACAAAAGATAAAATAAACAACACAGCAGCAGCAAACAATATACACACATACACAAAGCAGTCTAGAGCAGCAGCAGCAAAAACAGAGACACCAAAAGCAGCAGCAACAGCAGGGACAGCAGAAGCAGCAGCAGGAAGGGATACAGCAGGAGCGGCAACAGCAGCAAGAGCTACAGCACCAGTATCGACTACAGCAGCAGCAGGAGCAACGACTACAGCAGCAGCAGCAGCAGCAGCTACAGTAGCAGCAGCAGCATGAGCTGCAGCAGCAGCAGGAGGCAAGGAAAGAGCAGCAGCAGCACGACTTCGCGTGTGTTGTGCTGCAGCAGCACCTGAGTATTTCTGCTGCACTCCATAGGGTGACTTCTCCCTCAGACATTCCTCCAGCAACAAGGGGCCCAACAGTTGCTGCTGCATCTGCTGCTGCAGCGCATGCAATACATTGAAACGGGGCTGGGGCAGCAACGCATGCGACAACAGGAAGCGAAGGAGCAGCAGAAGATAAATCTACAGAAGCAAACTCTAGACGAGGGTCAACCCCCATAGTACCCAGGGCCAGCAGCTGCGTCCCTCTCCCGCTGCTGCTGCTGCTGCTGCTGTTGCTGTTGCTGTTGCTGTTGCTGCTATCGGGGGAGGCATCCAAGCCCCAGGGCCCCAGCGGGCACCATGCTACAGCAGCACTGCGTGTGAGGTGCTTCAGACTCATCCTGTCTATCAGCAGGAGCAGGAGGAGCAGGAGGAGCAGCAGCAGCAGCCGGAAATGCGGACAACTTGCTGCAGCAGCAACAAAGGGGTAGCGCTTGGTGTAGGTAGAGACAGAGAGAGAGCAGCACAAAAGAAGCAGCAAAGAGACAGATTTACCTTTAGAAGAGACAAAGAAACAAATAATACAAAAGAAAAAGAAAACACTTAATCCATACACAAATTAACAAGCAGCAGCGCCGACTTCCTGCTGCTGCTCCCGCTGCCGCTCCTGCTGCTGCTGCTGCTCGTGCTGCTGCTGCTGCTGCTGCAGCGTGTGCAGATACCCTTCTAGTATATAATGCCTTAGCAGTATTTTAATCCTAAACTTTTCGTCTACAATTGCATGAAAGACAACAGGAGCGCATTCTGCTGCTGCTGCTGCTGCCGCCGCTGCTGTTGCTGCTCCTGCCGTTCTGATGCTGCTGTTGCTGCTGTTGCTGCTGCTGCATGCCTCGCGCATCTCCGGCTCCCTAAAGCAGCATAAATTTATAATTTGTTTTTATTTTTCTCGCTATTTAAATTAAAAGACAAACTGTAATAACGGTTTCTACTCTGTGTTGTAGGCGGCGTGCAAGCTGCAGCAGCAGGGGCCCCCCAGCAGCAGCACAATATAAAGCTGCTGCTGCTGCTTCTTTGCTCTGTAGCAGCAGCTGTATTCTGCCTGTCTCTCTCTTGTTGAGGTGTATACACGCATCAGGTAGAGCTGCATTTTCATTTTGTTTTAAACTGCAGCAGCAGCATTCCAGCAGCAGCAGCAGCAACGTGCAAGCTGCAGCAACAGCAATAACAGCTGCAGCAGCGAACATAGAAGTCTCTGTCTCTCCTCAGCTTCTTTACTCTATCTTTATCTGCGTGGTTTAAACGCCACTTCATTGTAAAAGCGGTTGCTGCTGCTGCTGTTGCTGCTGCTGCAGCAGATGGAGGCTTAGGCTCTAGAGTTTGTTTATATCGTCAGCAGCTGTTTTTGTATGCTGCTCTGCATCAGTTAACAGCGCATGCATCTGTTCATGCAGCAGCAACAAGAACGTGTTGCTGCATTATTAGGGTGTATTGCTGCTAAAGTTATGTTTATAGAAAGGTTGCCCTCTGCTGCTGCTGCTGCTGCTGTTGCTGAGCCGTTCTACAGCATGCAATAACGTTTATAAAACGAGTAGCAGCAGATTAAAATGAAGCAAAACAAGAAAAAGATAGAAGCAGAAGTATATGTTTGTTTGTCTCTCTGCTAGCTGTCTCCCCTCCAATAGAAATGTGCTAGTCATCAGCATTGTACAATATATATTAATATTATTATATATAATAATAATATATATAAGGATATGCATGCATGCATGCATGCATACATGCGTCTTCTTTATTACTAATGATTAGGAAATAATAAAAAAGAGACTGAGAGAAGAAGCCCTCTGTGCTTATTACACTTTTTCTTCTTTCTTTTGCTGTTGATGAAGCAAAGATAATAATAAAGATATTAATAAAGATATTAATAAAGATAATATATATATATATATATACATAAATATATGTTAATGCGTATGAATATATATATATATATATATATGCATATATACACAAATATTTATGTGTCGATATACCAGCATACATTCATATATAGAGATTCCTATATATATAGAAATATATATATATACATATATATATATGAATATATATATATATATATACCTATGCATGCATCTCTCTCTCTATTTATATATATGCATATATAAACAAAGAAGCAAAATGAAGAAGAAAACGAACAATGAAAATATAAATAAATAACTACAGAAAGAAGTAAACAAAAAACAGAAATAACAACAGAAAAACAAATAAATAAAAAACAAACAAACAAAACCTTAAAAAGTAAAACAATAAAACAAATAAACAAAAGATAAGAAATAAACATTAAAGAGTAAGACAGACAAATAAACTAAACCCTAAACCCTAGATACAAAAATGCAGCGCACAGATGAATACATAAAGAAGCAGCAGCAGCAGTAGAAGTGCAGCAGCAAATACAGCAGAAGAGCAGCAGCAAATACAATAATAGAGCAGCAGCAAATGCAGTAGAGAAGCAGCAGCAACAAAGTAATAAAAAAGAATTATAAGAAAAGGAGCGGGGTCGGCATGCACAGAGAGACAGCTGCATGTTGGTGTGTACAGACAGCAAATAAACAAAAAGAAGAGAGATAAATAAAAATTAAACACAGACAAAAGAAACAAAGACAGAGAGAGAAAACAAAGAAACAAACTTTATATTATTTAACTAATACGCTAGCAATCTAGGGTGTTGCTACCCTAAACCCTAAACCCTTAACCCTATATGCCTACAACCCATTGCCTTAGGGTTTCTGTATGCTTCTTCATTCAAAAGAACTGCTGCAGCACTGCCTTCTGTTGCAGCTGCAGCACTTGCTGCTGCAGTTGCTGCGGCAGCTGCTGCTGCATGAGTTGCTGCAGCAGCAGCGCTACTAGAAGGGTTAGTCTGGCTCGCCTTCTCAATCTCATCTGCATCCATTAGAGACGAAGAGTTAGGGTTTAGGGTTTAGGGTTTATGGTTTAGGGTTTAGGGTTTATATGCATCTCCTTCGTTAGGGTTTGCCTGCAGTCGGCTCCCCTGATAGAAGTAGGTCTAAGGTATGAGAAGTGCAGCAGACAGCACAATGAAAGTTTTTAACATGTTTAAATAGAATAAGAAAAATAAATTAAATGCATTAATAGCATCAATATAAACAAAGCAGCGAAGGCAGCAACAGCAGCAGCAACAGCAGCAGCAGCAGCAGCTGCTGCTGCTGCTGCTTGCGCTCTTGTCTGCTTACCAGCCCCAGAAACTGCAGCATTGTTTGCGGTTCGTATTTTCTTCTTTAATAACACTTTGATTGCGTGACTCCTGTAGATTCTTTTCGGGTGTATGCACAGCAGCAGCTGCTGCTACCTAAACACCTCTGCTGCTGCTGGCGCAGATGTTCCGCAGCAACAGCGGCTGGTCTTCTTACCCTTACGCTCAGGCCAGCTATTGCTAGCAGCAGCAGAAGCAGCAGTAACAGCAGCGGGAGCAGCAGCAGCACAAGCACCAGGAGAATCAACAGCAGCAGCAGGAGCAGCAACACCAGGAGCAGCAGCAGCAGCAGTAGCAGCAGCTGCAGTGAAAGCAGCAGCAGGGGGAGTAACAGCTGCGGCTGCTGCAGCTGTGGCAACGGGAGAAGGAGCAGCTGCAGCAGCCGCAGCTGCAGCAGCA